AAAGCCACTAGTGGTCTATCATTTTCAGCAATATGGGGACAGGCCACACCAGTTTTCCCTGTCTTCTTCCCCACTGGCAATTTTATGACGGGGCAGGCAGAGCTTTTCATTGATTAAACTCTTGGCTGAGGCAACAAGCAGAACAGGGTTGCTGAGATACTCCCCCTCTAGCATATTTTCAGCATCCCAGAGGACACCTGTGAATCCCTGTACACAGGAGGACTGGCTCCAGAGCACTCCAGGCATTAAAATGGAGCGAGGTACCCAAAGGCAGGAATGTCCACAGGAGAATGGCAGGCACCATCCTGTTTCCCTGCTCTGAGAGCTCCCACAGAAAAGCTGGTTGCTGCTGCCACCTTTTGACTTCTGAACTACTTGGATATGTTATTTGCAAGAGACTGAATCACAGAACCATAGGAAGGTTTGGGTTGGAAGGGATATTAAAGCTCATCTTGTTCCACCCCTGCCATGGACAGGCCACTAGACCAGGTTGCTCCACGCCCCATCCAACGTGGCCTGGAGTGGACAGAGCTGGTTGCTCCCAGGTTACCTTCCTCTCCGTGAACTTTCCCATCATAGTTATTAATAAGTTCTTCAATGAAAGTTTCATCTTCTTCCTTCACCTCGTCGCCCATGTAAGGGATATTGCACAGAACTGTTTCATCCTCCACCTGAAGAGAGATCAGACACAGCTCAGAAAAGCAGAGTTTGCTGACCCCAACGAGGCTGTGCCCAAGGCTGCTCTGGTCCCTTAGGTCTGCCAACAACACGGTGCACAGTAAAGGTTCAGATGTCTCATCACTGACACATCAGTGTTATCCCATTGTAACCCAGTCACAAATGAAAAGATCTGCCTAAGAAATAAAACTCTTCATATAAAGGGAAATAAAAATCTTAGGAAAAAATATAAACAAACAAAACCCCCCAAAAACATATTTACTCCTTGAATTCTGTGAAACAATGGTGACTCTGTCAAGAAGCCACATGTAAAGGAGACTACCTGGTGAGGTAGTGTGGACACAAGGCTGTCTGGGATTCTACAAAACAAGCAACTAAAGCAACACTTCATCATCTCTCAAGCAGATGTTGCCTGAAACAAGTGGGATGAAGAACCACTTCCCAGCTGTGTAACAATCAGACGATGACCTCACTGAAACCCCATGCTTCCCACGTACCATGAAATTCTGCTGAAGAGGGGACCAGGAGTACATAATGGGCACCAGTGCCACTGTGTTCAGGGTCCTCATGTACAGTGTCTGGCTTGCAAATCCTGGGAAAATGCTCTCAACAGTGCACTGGAAAACAAGTAAAGAGAAGGATAGTGAGGAACCATTCTGGGAGGCTGCCACAGCCTGAGGAAAACTGAATTCAGGACAAACACAGAAGCCCCACATCCACTCTGTGGACTCCATCCAGGGAAAAGCCTTGGGGGTACTTTTTGTCCATTTCTGCATTCCAGAAGTGTGAGGCATGGCCTGACACTGATCTAGGACAACACAGACAAAAACTCATGCATATTCCCAAAGCTCCCTGCAGTCCTGCCCCTTTTCCTCTGCACACCTGTTTCAGGAACGGGTGCCCACTGACTGGCTTCATCAGCTGCACTGGCTGCACTCGAAGCTTCTTCCAGTCTTCATTAAGGATCTGAGTCTTTTCATGAACCTTCGCAAAGTTGGCCACAAAGAGAGCCTGAAAGGAGAGAAAGGAGCTCTCAAAATTTAAGAAAACCCAATGAGAACTCTCACAGCACTGAAAGGATTCAGCAAGGAGATCCTGTAAAAACCAACTGGAAATTAGCTCTCCTGCTGCTGTTACACCAGTGCTAGTTCAATGGCCTCATGCATGCGACAGCTGCTGCCCACGAGGTCAAGGCAGAGCATGAGCAGAAGTGGCATCTCTTCCCACTGATCCAGCTTGCAAGTCAAATACAGCTTATCAATTCACCTTGCTGACACCCTCTGGCACCATTCAGACACTCTGAGCTGAAATGAAGCCTTTTTGGTGCATCTCAGCCCAGTCCTTGCTGAGGCTGTACCTTGGCTCCCATGTTTGCCTGGAACCTCTTGAGCTGCCGCAGACGCATGTACTCGGACTTGACTTTCCTTTTCCAGTACATGATACACTTGGATGTCGGAGGAGTGGCAATTTCCATCTTTCTGTAACAGTACAGAAAGAATAAGCATTAAATAATGGTCAGCTCAACCTCGAAACAAGTGATATTAGAAAAACGTCCCTGTGGATGGGAAAAACACTCTATGCATCATAGACCTAAACCAAGCAAAATAACGCCGTAGCTCTGCAGTGCTCCTGACTGCGGAACAACCCCAGCCCGAGACAGGCCCGGGACAGCAGCGAGGGGCGGTGCTGACCAGAACCGCCCGTCCTGTTCCCCGAGCCCCCGGGGGTTGCTGCGATCCCCGCCCTCCCCCGGGACACGCCGCCGGAGAGCCGCGGCTCCACTCCAGCCGCCCTCCCTGCCGCTCCGGCCGGGCCCGAGCGCTCCCCACGCCCGCTAAGAAGAAGCGGAGCGAGCCGAGGCCGGCTGCGCCGCCGGGCCGGGGGAGCTGGTCTGAGCCCCGCAACTCCCTGCCCCCGGGGCCCGGCTGGTACCTCGGGAACCCGACACCCCCGGGGCCCGGCTGGTACCTCGGGAACCCGACACCCCCGGGACCCCCCGCCCCGCCCGCACTCACTGTTCGGCCATCGCGACAGGGGGAGGCCGCGCACCCCGCCGCACTGCGCGCGCGCCGGCCCGCCCTGCGCCCGCCCCGAACCCGCCTCAGGCCCGGCCCCGGCCCCCGGCCCGCCCTGGGCCCGCCCCGAACCCGCCCCGGCCCCGCCCCGAACCCGCCCCGGCCCCGCCCCGAACCTGCTTCAGGCCTCGGCCCCCGCCCAGGGCCCGCCCTGAACCCGCCCCAGGCCCCAGCCCCCGCCCCCGGCCCGCCCCAGCCCCGGCCCCGGGCCCAGCCCGCCCCGGCCCCCGCCCCCGGCCCGCCCCGGCCCCGCCCCGAACCTGCTTCAGGCCTCGGCCCCCGCCCCCGGCCCGCCCCGGCCCCGGCCCGCCCCGGGCCCGCCTCAGGCCCGGACCCCGCCTCGACTCGACTCGGCTCGGCTCGGCTCGGCTCGGCCCGGCCCGGCTCCGGTCCCTCACACCCAGGCCCCGCCCCGCCCCTCACATTCCCCAGGCCCCGCCCCTCACACCCCAGGCCCCGCCCCGCGCCGCCGCCGGTGCCGGTGCCGGTGCCGGTGGGGCCGGGACGCGTGGCCTGCCCCGGCGAAGCGGACCCGTTCCAGCCTAGAGGACACCCCTGTCGGTCGCGGGGAACGGGCTAAACGCGGCGGCTCGGTGCCGTGCCCGCCCGTTCCCGGCGTGCCTGGGCCCACGCGGCCCCGGCCCGGTCTTGCGGGAAGCCCTTGGCGGGACAGCGCCGTTCCCGCCCGGTTCCACCGCACTCCGAGCCCCGGGTCAGCCCTGCCCGGGTGTGGTCGCGCTGCCTGACGAGCCGTCCCGGTGGTCCCGGGTCCCTCTGGCCCCACCGCCGGGCCTCCCTGTGGCGGCGCCGGGCAGGAAGCGGCTGCTGGCGGCAGCTTTCCTGCCCCGGGGGCCCCGGCGCCGGGGAGCGGACGGAGCTGGCTGCTGCCCCGGCGGGGCCCCGGCCGCCCCCGCCGGCTGCCGGCTGCCCCGGGGCACCTTTTTGGCAGGGTGAGTGCGGAGGACGAGCAGGGCCGGTCGCGCCCGCAGCCCTGCACCCCGCCCGCATCTCGGAGCTCCGCCGGGTCAGGCGGGGCGGGGGCCCGGTGTCCCCCGGGAGCTCCCAGCGCTGGGACGGGCCGGGCTCCGGGATAGGTGACCGGGGGAGCCCCAGCCCGGGCGCAGGGATCCCGCTGTCGGGAGGATGAGGATGCTCCCTGGGCTAGGGCTGCCTGCTGCCCGCTCCTGTCTCTGCTCCCGCGGGTGTGGCACAGGCAGCCGGGGGTGCTGCACGGAGGCCCCAGGGGGTTGGGCACAGGGTCTGGCAGACAGCGAGTCCCCACAGGGTACCTGGCATATTTCTCTCCTCTCCCAGTGCAGCTGTGCTGGAGGACAGCTTGCCTGGTCTCTCCTGGCCTTCTTTGGAAGGATCTCTGAGCAGGGTTTGCCACAAACTTGTCTGCCCCCAGGGCTGGTGTTGGCTCAGAAACTTCTCTTCCAGGCTGCAAGGGCCAAGGCAGAGCCAGGAGTCCTCTGCACCCTTAGCCCTTTCACCTCTACTGCGCTCATCTTGGCATGGGAGGAAGAGGAGGGGTCTCTGATGTACTGGGACCAGCAGCTGGGCACTGGGACTGTTCCTGGCTGGGCAGCCCTGGCATCCTGTGTCTCCTTGCTGCAGGCCATGGGAACACTGAGCACAGGGATCTCAAGGATGAAGGTTAATACCCTGGTGCCATATCCAGTGTGGCTCTAGCCCTCCAGTCCCCTCCAGCAGTGCTGTACTGGGGGGGCTCCATCACTGGCAGGGCAATGTCCAGCACCCCTTGGACCTCACATGGTCCCACTGGTCCCACCTCCATCAATGTCCTTCTGGGTGGCTTCTGGATAAGGATGGTGAGTAGAGCTGCCCTCTTGCCGTCCTGGCTGTCCTCCCCATCCATCGCAGACCTTGGTGAGACCTGTGCAATCTGTGCTGGTCTTGCAAGTGCCTCAGAGGCTCCCTCCTGTCTAGGCTGATCCCATGGGGCCCCTAGGGCTGTGTGTTGTACTGCACAAGAAACAGGACTGCCTGCCTCATCCTGGGCAGAGTCCAGGAGTGACCCCAAACACCCCTCCTGAAACCACAGCTAGTGGGGGAGAGCTGGGAGTGGGGGAACATTCCAGGGTCTATCAGGTGTTCTGCAGGACCTCTGGAGGTGCTGCTGGTGCCAACACACTGCCAGGACACCTACCAGGGCTGGATCTCCTTCTACTGCTGCGCCCCCTTCCATGCCACCCTCATGGAAGTCGCTGCCACTGGAACCAGATCAGCAGGTGGGTCAGCATCAGCCCCAGAAGTGCCACATGCACACTCGGAGCAGAGCCATCACAGGGATGTGTCCCCAGCCCTGCAGGCTGGCCTCATGCTGTCCCCTCTGCAGCACCTAGAGTGAGCTCTCCAGTGGCATCCAGCTGCTGGCCAGCTGCTCTCCTGCCCTGGCCTGTGGCCATCCTTGACCCCTCTGTCCACTGAATACTTCACCAGCTGCACTGAGGCCCGGCTCCCCAAGCTGGGCAGTTGGCCCCCAGCGTGGCTGTGGCCAAGGGGCTTGGCTGCCTTGTGCCCCTCGCAGCTGCCCTCACACTCAGCAGAGCCCAGACAGGGGTTCAGATCCCAGGGAGAAGCTGCCCATTTCCTGAGAGCCCCCAGCTCTTTGAGGGGCCAGTGACAGCCTCCTTCCCTCGCAGTCCTGGCAGCTACTGAGTGGGAGGAGAGGACTGAGGGTGAGGGTGACAGGTCAGAGCAGGGATGGAGAGCTTGGGATTCCCTGGGAATGGAGTGGGTCCCATGGCATGAGGGGAAGCTGGGGATGGGGCTCCAGATGCCTGCATCTGCCTGGGGGAACACTGGGAGAAGAGTGTCAGGCAACTGACCCTGCACGGGCCGATCCCCTTCCTCGGCACCCCAGATGAGGGCTGGCAGGGAATGCCGGGGATGCCAGGCTGGGTGGGGAGCCCAGGCCCTTGGCAGGCAGCCACCATCCTGTCCCTGCCCATCCCCTCCGGACGCCCCAGGAGGGGGGCAGCCGTCCCAGCCCTGGGGCCGCGCTGAGATCATTGGGTGTCTCCCTGGCAGAGGCTCCTGCCACCCGGCTGGAGGCTCCGCCGGCTCCACCAGAAAGAGCAACCAGTGGCTCCAGCCCTGCAGCCACTGGAGTGCTGGGGATGACTTCCAGATGTGGCCACTCGCCCGCAGAAGGTGGCTGCTGCAGCCTGGGAAGCATCAGACAGCTCTGCCAGGACTTTTGCTGGGGAGCTGAAGCCCAGCGCGATCCACAGCAGGGAGGGTCCCTCCGAGCTGCCCTGCACTGCACTCCAGTCCCTGCTCTGCGTGCCTGCAGGCGGCTCCTAAAGGGGAGGCTTTGGGCTGTGCTCTGCCCCGGCCAGGCGTGAAAGGTCCTGTGTAGGAATGCCGCAGAGCCGCGGGCTGAAGTCACCCACAGTGGGGGGGACACGGGCCCCTGGGCGGGAGCTGCTCCAGGAAGGGGGGCTCTGGCAGAGGCAAGCAGGCGCCAGGCTGCCCAGTGCAGGAGGAAGGCACTGGGGCCAAGGACTGGCAGGGTCGGCCAAGTGTCTGCCCTCTCCCCACCTCCTCGGCCTCGTGCCTGGGGGTAGGTTGTGCCATCACCCTTCCCTCCTTGGCCACGGGCAGGAGCTGGGCTGTGGGGCAGGTGCCCGGGTGAAGCAGAAACTGCGGGTTTGGGGCCGTGGGTCCCCCCGCCGCCCCCGTTCCCGGGCGGCAGCACCCGTCCGGGGACACTGTGCTTTCCCGTCCACTCCCCCCGCTGCTGGGCTGCCTGCCCTCCACGCAGGAGACGAGGGATTTCACAACCCAGCCCAGACAGGATTAAAGAGAAATACACAAGTAAACAAATCGCGGCCTCGTAACGCTGGACGTGCTGTGCAGGGAGCGGATCCTCCAGGCCGGTGGGTGAGGCGCGGGCGTCGTGGGTGCCGGGGGTGCGGGAGCGATGCCCGCGGGGGCCGGCACCGCACGGGACAGCGCAGGGTCCGGCCGGGAGAGCCGCTTCAGAGCAGCACTGAGCGATCTCATTTTTCACACGTCTCCCGTAGTCAAACTGCCCCTGTCAGAGGAAAGGAGTTGCTTCCTGTTATTTCCATTGAAATCCCTGTCCCGGTCGTTAGCCGGCGGGCTTTGGCAGGATGGCACCGCGCACGCACATGAGCTCCGGCCGCCTCTCCCGAGGGCTCCTGCTGGTCTGCGGTAAGTGCGCGGGGCGCGGCCCCGGGGGCTCCGCACCCCGCACCACCCCGCACGTGGCCGCCCTCCCACTCGTGGGGCCCGGGGCCAGGGTCTTGACTCAGCCCGCCCCATCGCCCCACCCCAAAATGGGACCAGCCTGTCATCGCTGAGATTAGCTGGGGCAGCCGTCGCCAGCATGGCCGGGGGGCACTGGCAGGTGGGCACCAGGTGCTGTGGGCAGCTCCCACCACGCTCAGCCACGGTCTGGCAGGGAGCCCTGCGAAGACCCGGGCTGGGACAGGAGCTGTAGCACCACACATGCCCAGGCAGGGGGGGTGGATGGGGCCATCAGGGACAGAGATCGGGGCAGGGTGGGCTGCCCTTAGCACAGCCAGTGTACCAGCCCAGGAGCACCCCATGGCCGGCGCCCAGCGGTGCCAGAGCTCCCCACAAACAGCCCAAGGAGGGCCCAGTCTGGCAGTTCAGCGTGGAGCCAGCATCAGTGCCCCACACTACGGGTCTGCAGCTGAGGGCGGGAGATGGATCGGGCAGTTTCCTTGAGCCATGGGGCTCCCGTGGGCCAGGCGAGACGTGCCCCACGCCCTTGGCAGGCTGTGCTGGGTGTGGAACTGATGGCAGGCGGAGGGGTTCTCCAGCGGTTCTGTGCTGTGGCCAATGCTTCCTCTTCCTGCCCCAGCTCTGTCCGGCTGACACGCAGTACCACGCCGGCTCCCCATGGGTGGGGGTCCCAGTTTGTCCCCATGCTGTGACAATGGCCTGGGGTTTGTAGCCCCTAAACAGCCCCTCTGAACCTTTGGATAGCTGCCTGCAGCTCCCACAGCCCCTGCCCATACGGGGGGCTGGACGCCTTAGCTCCAGCTTCTGCCAAGCTCTGTCTCCCTGTGCCCCACCTGCTGGCTCCAGTGCCCCCTGAGGGACACCCAAAAGCAGTTATTTCCTATAGACCCAGCCTCTGCCAGGGCAGCTCCCTCACATGGAGCCCTGTCAGCACCCTTACCCCCCTCCCCAGACCCTCTGTCCCCTCTCACCCTGTGCCCCTCCCTCTGCAGTGCTCCTGGGGACTGGCCTTTGTCACACAGACGCCGTGAACATGAGCTTCATCCAGGACACTGTGACAAGACCACCCACGGCCATGTCCAACTGGACAGACCAGCCCATGGGTGAGTGTTGGGGTTCAGCGAGGGCCGGGCAGCACTGCAGGACAAACGGTGCCCTGGCCAGGGCTGGCCCTGTGCCACAGAATGACCCCTTCTTTCCCCTAGCCATCCCAAAAATAGCTGGCCCGTGCCATGAAGCTCTCCCTGCCACTGCCCACAGTGGGGGCAGTCAGCAGCAGCCTGCCCTCCCTGTGTGCCCCTGGCATTGCCCTGGGCTGCTGCAGGCTCCAGGCAACATCCCAGGGCTGCTGTAGGGTCCATCCCTCACTGTGCTGATGTCTCTCCCACTGGCCTGGGCAGTGCTCCAGATGCCAGGTGTCACCTGGCAGCAGGGGCAGGCAGGGATGCACCGTGGGCAGAGGCACGCTGCCCGTGCTCAGCACCTTTCCTCACAGAGAGGAATTACACCGACATGACAGAGGAGTGCTGGAAATACTTCGTCTCCCTGATGGGGAACGTGATGACATCGGAGTTGTGCGAGTGGAAAGTCATCAGCAGGTATGGGGCAGCCGGACCTTCCCCTCCGGCAGCAGGGGCAGGGGCTGGGCAGTGCACAGGGGCGGTGCTGCTCCGTTCTCCGTGCCCCCGGTGTCCCATCCCCTGCCGGTGTCCCGGCTCTCTTCCAGGCCCTACAGCGCGCTGCAGCGCTGCCTGGAGGACTGGGCCGAGAGCTTCAACTACAGCTACCCCAACGCCCTGGCGGAGCAGTACATCTTCCAGAGCCACCACCGCTACTTCCACAACTGCACCCTGGAGCAGCCAGTGTACTTCGACCCGCCCGAAGATGTGCTCCTGGCCATGATCATCGCACCCATCTGCCTCATCCCCTTCCTTGTCACCCTGGTCATCTGGCGCAGCAAGGACGGCAAGGCGCAGGCCTAGAGCTGCCCTCCCGTCCCGCCTCGGGCCACGGACCCGCGGCTGCGGGGCCGCCCGACCACCCGAACCGCCCGCTGGGCTCTCGGGGCCACCGAGCCGCGCAGCTGAGCTGGCCGGTTCCTCCCGCGCCTTCCCCCCGCCGCGGCCCGGCATTAAACGCTTCTTCCCCCACGCCTGGCGCTGGTTCTTCGGCCACTCGAGCCCTCCACGGCCCCGGCCCGGGCCAGCTCCCACTGCCTGGCGCGGGCGTGCCGGCAGCTGCCTGCCGTAGGGAACGCTGCGGCGGGACACCGGGGCCAACACCGGCACCAGAACCGGGGCTGCCGACCGGGAGGGGCGGGGCTACACGAGGGGCGGGGCAATGCAAATGAAGGGTGTGGATATGCAAATAGAACGCGTTGGTATGCAAATAAGGTGTGGTTATGCAAATAGAGGGCGTGGCCATGCTCTGGAAGGGCGGGTACCCGCGCGGGGGGCGTGGCCCGCGGCCGGGCCGGAAGCGGGGCGGGCGGGTCGGAAACCGGCGGCGGCGGTTCCGGTGGTTCCGGTGGTTCCGGTGGCGGCGATGAGCTTCGCGTGGCCCTGGCAGTACAGCTTTCCTCCCTTCTTCACGTGAGCGCGGCCGGGGCCGGGACTGGGACTGTGGCTGGGGGAGGCGGGGCGGGAAGCGGGGGAACCGGGGGAACCGGGAGCGCGGGCCGGGGGTGCCGGTGCCCGCCCGCCGCCGTGCTGACCCGGCCCTCGCAGGCTGCAGCCCAACGGCGAGACGCGGCAGAAGCAGCTGTCGGCCTGGTGCGCGCTGGCGCTGGCGTACAGCCAGCAGCACCGGCTGCCCGCCATGACGGTACGGGAGGCTCAGGACATCCCGCTCTTCGCCAACCACCGCCTCCAGCGTATCCTTTGCTCCCGGTGCCCGCCGCCCCGCCGCCCGTGCCCCCCTCGCCCCTACCCCCCGCCTCCGTCAACGCCTCCTTAACCCGCGCCCAGGGAAGCTGCCGCTGGAATCCATCCAGGTGGTGCTGGAGGAGCTCCGCAAGAACGGTGGGTGCTCCGTCCGTCCGTCCGTCCGTCTGTCCGTCCGTGCTCCCGACCCGCCGGGCACGGAGGGCAGCAGCCACCGGGCAGCTCCGTCCCGGGGCCCGGGCTTGCCCATCCCGGGGCTGCTCGGGGCTCCGCGGGACCCAGCCCTGCCTCAGCAGGCAGGGAGGAGGGGGCTGCACAGAGAAAAATCACTTTCTGACACGGCAATATTTAGTATGCAAGGCTGGGGCTGCCCTGTGAGGCTGCCTTGGGCTGCAGTGTCTGGCACGTGTGCCAAAATCTGCATGTTTGATCCTTATTTCTGACTTGTGCTCTGCTTCAATCCCTGTTCCCCATTGCTTCTAGGGAACCTGGAATGGTTAGATAAGAACAAAACCAGTTTTCTGATCATGTGGAAGAGACCGGAAGAGTGGGGAAAGCTCATCTATCAATGGGTGAGAGCACAGGGGCTGCACACCCAGACCCACACTGTGTCCATGAGGATGGGGGGTCCTGGCTGACGGTTGGGAAAGATCACTGCTTGCTTCCTCACTGCTTTTACCTTTCTCCTTGCACTTCTCTCTGTTGCAGAGAGGTGAGGACTTATTAACAGCTTGCACTTGCTGTGAGCTGCAGGGTGAGGGTGGTGTTGTCCACCCTCGGTGCTGGGTGACCTGTGGTGAGGACAGGGCAGCGTCACTGCCTGGCCCAGGTGTGGCCCAGGTCCTCACTGTGGAACACACAGGCAGGAGGACCAGACCTGTCCTCATTCCCCCAGGCTGCACCCCCTGACCCCTCTGCCCCACGTGTGTCCAGGGTGCTTATCACATGCTGTGCACATTCTGTGTTACACTCTCCAGGATGTGTGAGAGATTGGACAAGGATGTTCAGCCACACAGATGAAATTTGCTATTTGTGTTTGCAGGTGTCAAAGAATGGCCTGACCAACTCTGTGTTCACGCTGTACGAGCTGGTTAGTGGAGATGATACAGAGAATGAAGGTAAAGCTGGGGCTCGTGTTCTGGAGCAGGTTTTCAGAGCACGCTGGATTGGAGCATGTAAACAGTGATTGTCAGATTACACTTCTGTAGGTTAAATATTTTAAAATCCCAGATGCAAACTCACCGTTTCCCACCATTGGCACATGCTGCTCCAAAGGCTTTTATCATTTTGCAGGAACATCCCCCTCTGTAATTGGATTTTCCCTTCCCCAGTGCCTAGCACTTTATCTGGTGTGGTGAGGGGTGTTTTGTTTTCAAGCCAAGCTCCAGCTCTGCATGCAGGCTGCTGTGACTCGTCCCTGCTGTCTGATGACCTCTGGGCTCTGTTCCCTAAGCAGAGGTGATGAGCCTGTCAGTGTAGCCATGACTCTGGATTTGCTGTAGCGTTATGATGTTCTTCAGAGCCCTCAGCACTGCTGCCCCCACTCCCTGGACCTCACAAGCCTGTAGCTCATGGTGGCTTGACCTCCCCCTGTGTGCCATGGGGTCATGTGTAAATCAATTCCTTGGCCCTGACAGGTGATGACTTTGTGTGGTGTGACTCAATATATGTCCTGGAAGAGCAACTTTGAGATACATATCTCCTTAATGTGTGTGTAGATGGGGAATTATATCACGTAAATGCTAATTTACACACATTGGAGACACAAGTGAGTAGTTAGTTCATCCCCCGACACCAGAGGAGAGTCCTGGATAAAAAGTGCATGAGCCATTAAAAAGAGATAACACTTAACCTTAGCTGGTGATGCATGTGAGAATGACACCATTACTGCTTTGAACGAGATGTTCAGTGGTGCTTCTGGTTTGTGCTACAGTGTTAACAGGGTGTGTGTGTCAAGGTTCTTGTACCTCAGCCATGGGAGCCCTTTTACTGGTTGGAAATTAAAGAACAGGAAACACAGAAAAGCTGCTGTGATTATAATTGACTAAACTGTGATAAAAGAAGATCTGTTTGTGGGCTGCCATAGCTCTGCATGCTCCCCTACAGAGCCTTAATTTCTGGTTGTTTGTATGGAGGGTCGTAATGGTTTCTGGCAAGTTTTTCCTTCCAAAGTGAGACTGAGCCAGTGGAAGAGAGCTGCTCAGCTACATGCTATAGAACTGCATTATACATGACATCGTTCAGCAAAGTTCCTGATGGGAAACAGGAGAAGTGGGGCTCCATTAATTGGAAAAATGATGTTATTTTTTCTTCCTGTTGACGGGGATCTTTGTCCTTCCCTAGAGTTTCACGGGCTGGATGAGGCTACGCTGCTGCGTGCCCTGCAAGCCTTGCAGCAGGAGCACAAGGCTGAGATTATCACGCTGGATGACGGCCGAGGTGTCAAGTTCTTCTGACAGGAGCCTCCTGCCCTTCCCTGCTGCAGTCTCGGATCTCCCTGGCCAAGCGTTCCTCTCTGGGCCTGGCTTCAAACTGTGACTGCAAGTAGCTGCATCTCGGGATTTCTTGGGGCAAGATGAGTCTGAGAACCCTTCCAAAGATTTAGGAACATCCTGAGATCCTCTGTCTGGCTGTTCTCCCTGTTGATGTGTTCGAGAGGCTAAAGCTGCTCTAGGCAGTTCTGAGAGGGACCACCCAGAAGTGGGACTGGACTGCTGCTGGTCCCTGTTCCTGTGATGGCCTCGAAGCAGTCCCAGCTGGCTGTTCAAGCTTGACCTCAAAGGGCCCCCCTGCATCCCTGCCAGCCACGTGTGGGGTCCTGCAGTGCTGCTGCAGTGCCAGGGGATGAGGCAGGAGCAGGGCACGGGCCATGACTGCTACGCTGTGGAAGCCCTCAGTGGCAGAAGGAAATGCACTTGCTGCCAAGCAGGCTGGGGGAAGCCAGGGAACTAATTTCAGGTGATTAAAATGAGATGTATTTATAGAGCAGCCTGGCTGTTTTCATCTATCTTTATTTTTCCATCAGAGACAAAACAGAGCAGCGTACCAGATTTTTGTCCTTCAGTCATATTTCCTCGCTGCCCCAGGGAAATGCAGTGGTTCCAGGGTGGGAAACACCACAAGAAGAAAGGAAAAGGGGACCCTTTCTGCCCTTCTCAGAACAACGTTTACTTTAAATTTGCATGTGCAGGCTGCTGGAAGCCTCTGGGTTTGTGCAGAGGTGATGGGGTAAGCTCTGTCCCACTGTGGCTGGGAGAGGGATGACTCAGCTTTAGGCTCTCAGTGCTGATAACAAAGTCCCCAACTTGTCAGAAACTGTGGCCAGGTGCAGTTGCTGACCCTGTCAGCCCTGGGGAAGCAGGTGGCTGTGCTGGGGCAGGGTCACCTTTCCCTGATTGTTGTCTGTAGGTTGGGGGGTTGGGGCAGGCTGGAGTGACCTCGGGTCAGACCAGTGTGGTCAGTCTGGGGGTCCAGCAGAGCAGATGGCACTTGCACCCCACAGGCTGACCCTGTCTGGCATTCCCTGCCCTTGGGGCAACCTGGCACTGGCTCACCTGCTCCTGACAGCTGATGTCAGCGTTGAGGAATTCTCAGTGTAGGTGAGATGCTGGAGTCTGGGGGCTGTGAAATGTGAAAATTTGTTCTGTAGCAGGAGCCTGTTGACCTGGACTTGGTGGGATGTGCTGCCCTGGTGTGGGCACAGTGCTCTGGAACTGTGGCAGGAGCCCAGGCTTCCTCTCCGTGCCCGGCTCGGCGGTGCTGTGGGGGAATTCCTGAGTGCCAGCACTTCTGTGCTGAACAAAGGCACCAGCAATGCTCCTGAGTCACTGACACAATGGGCTGGTGTGGTCTCCTTTCTGAGGACCATCACCCCTGGGAGCTCTGTCATGGTCCTGCCACTGAGGGTTCTGAGCAAAACCAGCAGCAGAGGCTGTGCCATGGCATGTGCCATGAGCCCTGCACTGCATCTGTCCCCACAAAACTGGCACAGCCTCTGCTTGATCAGGGATCATCCTCTCTGTCTGCAGCCTCCAAAGTCTCTGTGTGGGATTCATGTGCTCCCAGTGTCTGCCCTGGGTTTGTTTCCATGTCCAAGATCTGCCTCTGCTTTTCTCCCCATGCCACCTGCATTGCCCCTTCCCTCCCTGGCTGCTCCCTGCCCTGCACAGAGCCAGGGTGCTGTGCCTGCAGGTGTCTGCATTTGATCCCAAACAATGAGCCTTCAGCAGCCAGGCTGGAGTGTCTGTTCTCTCTGCCTGTGTGCACGATGCTGACCTCCCAGCACTGTGTTCCAGGCTGGGAGTGCTGTATGTAACCTGGCTGTCCTTGAGGGAGTCTGTGTTCTTAATTAAATTTGCTCCCTTCTTAGGAAATGGCTGATGTGACATTAGATAAGCCTAAAACCAGCTTTTCATTCCAAGGCACTCCTGGCAGCAATTCCCATCTCTTTTTCAGCTTCCTATTTAGTTGCTTACTTAGTGGCGGGGGGGGGAGAAGGAGGAGGAAGAGTATGTCCCCTTTGCAGAGTGGACATTGTGTAAAATTCCTTTTCCACACCCTCTGGGCTGGTTACCAGAGGCCACATCCAGCCATGCCTGTGAGGACCTGTGGGACCAGCTTCCCTGGGCTGGGCAGTGCTGCTGCAGAGAGGTGTCACTGCTGAGGCCAGGGTGTCACTGCTGAGGCCGTGGGATGGGTCCTGGGAGTGGCAGAGCTGCTGCCAGCTGGTGCTGCCACCCTGGAGGGAGCAGCTGTCCCTCTGTGGAGATGCTGTCCAGCCCAGCCATGCAGCCCTGGGGAGGGGCTCGCTGCAGGAGGTGGCTCAGGGTGGTTTTGGGGGGTGGGGGTGGCTGGTACAACCCCCTCCTCCAGCCTGTGGCCCCTCAGAGGCCCTTGCCACGTCTGGCCATGGTGATTAGGGCTCGCTGGCCGGGGCGAGGCAGAGCTCAGAGGGGCTGGTGCCAAGATAAGGCACTATCAGGCTGGGCACACTCGGATCCCACTGGTCAAGGAGGAAGGGATTCTGAGAAAGATTTTCTTTAGTGCAGCTGCATAGGAGCAGGAACTGTTTCAGTTTGATAACTTTATATGTTGGGATAAAGGTGCAGGCGGGTCCCATCTGTGCCTCTGGGCTGAGGAAATCCTCTGCAGTGATCTGCCCATGGTTACAGCTACAGCTGAGGTTTGGGTGCTATCTCTGCCTCCCTGAACTCACATGAGTTAGGGTGAGAGACACAGAAGGTCCTGTGGGTATGGGGTGGTGAAGGTAACAGTGAAATAAGCCCTGGGTGTCCCTGGAGCATCCCAGGACAGGCACCCTGTGCTCTGCAGCCCCAGCTGTGCATCCCCTTGGTCCAGACCCATCCTGGCCCCTCTGCGATCCTGCCCCAAGCTCTGGGGTCAGAATGGACAATTCCTGGCAGGGCTTGGTGGAGCCTGGAGTTGAGCAGGGCTTTGATTCATGATCTAATTCTGAGGAGAGTGATTACACAGTGCCTTGTACTCTTTCTGGCAGCCAAATGTAGGCGAGAAATGGGTTATGTTCCCTGATTGTGGCGGTTCCTCAAAGTGAAGCCTGGCACTGGCACCTGCAGCCCAGAAATGTCACCCTGATAACGCTGGGGAGCTGCAGTGGGCGCCTGATTGTGGAACAGGAGCCTTCTGGTTTCAGGCCAAGCTGGCTGCAGATTGGTGTTCCTGGCCAGGTCAGGAGAGGATCTGTTCCCCTGCCCGAGCTGCCACCCCTACCAAATTCTGGTGTGGAGTGGCATTTGGAGAGATCATTTAGGGAATTTCTCAGACCACTCACAAGGGAGGTGTGGGAGGGCAGCACTTGGAGCAAACTTCTCCCCTAATTTCTTTCCTCCCCTGTCTGCAGGGGCCTCACTGGACCGGGATATTCCCCTGCTCCTCTGGGAACTTCCAAGGCATCTTGTTTCACGATGGAAACCCTTGATAAGGAGAAATGAGCCTGCCAGGGGCCAAACTGAGATCCCTGCCTGGCTCTGTGTCACCTGTTGGAGAAGTAGGGCTCCCTGCCAGCCTGAGCAGTGCATGGGCCCTGGCAGGGACCCCTGTGTGGGGGCAGCCAGAGTCAACCCAGAGGGCTTTGGGCAGCTTGCCCCACTGGCCATGCTCAGAAGGTTCTGGGTAAGGCTCACCTGGACAAAGAGCATTGTTTAACAGAGCTGAGCCAAGCCATGTTGCATCTTACAACCCAAGAGTCGCCCATGGCAGGGCCAGTGCAAGCACTGCACCTGTGGCCTGTCAGTCTTGGTCTTTTGGCTCCAGTGGCCACGGGCACCCGGTGCCCCAGCAGCAGGCACAGCCCTGCAGGGGCCGGTGCTGGACGTGGTGTTCTGCCAGCGCTGCTTCTTCACCTGGGACCAAGCCCCTGACGTGCTCCAGGGAGCGCAGGGCTGAGTGGGGATGTGGTTGCTGCTCCCTGCTCTCCGGCCAGTTCTGCTCCAGCAGCTCTTGACAGGGAGACATCGATCAAACTCCTTGTTGGGAAGGAGCTGCCTGGCTCGTGGGGCAGGAGGAGGTGGGTCGGGTGGGGTAAGCAGAGCAGAGATCAGCAGCGAGACGCAGGTCGGCCAGGAACATTTCATTAAATACTTGTCCCTCCCTCTTGTCCCCTCCCCAGCGGGGATTTGTGGGGAGCAGCCGTGCGGGACGTGGCCACAGCCGAGCTGCAGGTCAGCAGCCCCAGTCACCCGGCATCACCCTGCGGGTGCCAGCTTGGCGTTTAGGAGACCACGACTGCGTTCCCTTGTCCATCCACTCCTTAATGTTTCCGGTATCGTTGAGCAGAAACAATCTGGCCTCAGGGAAAAGAAATCAGCGGTGGCCTCAATTGCTTTGTGTTTTATGTAAACAGCCTCACCGGCAGAACAACCTTCTCCTTGAGCCTGGAGAGACAACACGCTCTTGTCCGGCTGTTGGCTCCCGCGGGGCTGACACACACCTTCGACTCTTCCTATTTGCGTGACCCTAATTTCAGGATTTCGGACCGCAGTGAACCCGAGCGGGATTGTCTGGGGCAGCGTGAGGGGGAACTCGCGTCCCGGCAGCGGCGCTCCGCTGCTCCAGCACACGCTGCTCCGGGACCAGGGTCAGAAACTCCGAGGAAATGTTTGAACCGGGGACGTTCCTGCGTTAGTCACAGCGGCCCCGGAGCCCCACGGGGGCGGCGGCAGGGACGGGGCTGTCCTGCGGGGAGGGGCTGCGAGGAGCCCCGGGGGCAGCGCGGACCCGGTGGGCGCCAGGCGGTGACGGGGACATCCCGGTATCCCGGGTGCTCGGGAGCGGTGCCGGGGCGCGGGGCCCCGCTCGCAGCCCGTGTCCGCAGCTGCAGGGCTGGGCGCCGTCCCGGGGCCGTGCCCGGTGCGGTGCCGGTGCGGTGCCCGGTGCGGTGCCCGGTGCCGGTGCGGTGCCCCTGCCCGGTGCGGTGCCGGTGCGGGCCGGTGGCGCAGCACGGGCGGGGGGCGGCGGTCGCTCGGGGGCGGACCCGGGCGGGGCGGGGGCGGTGCCGCGGGGCGGGGCGGCGGCGGTGCCGGAGCCGGTGCCCGGAGCGGGTCTCGGCGGTCGCTGCGGGGTGGCGGAGGCCACGGGTGCGAAGCTGCGCGGGAGCCGCCGCTCCCACCGGGCCGGAGCCGATGCTGGCGGCCGAGCCCGCCGCTGCCGGAGCCATGTCCCATCCCGAGGCGGAGCGGGCGGACAGCGGCTCCGCGCCGCAGCCGGAGCCGGAGCCGGGTCCGGGGCTCACCGGACGGGCCCCGCACCGTAACTGCAGCCGGCGGTCCTCGGGGCGCGATTCCCGACGTGCTTCCTCCCGCTTCAACCGGCGGAGCTCGGCCGAGCTGGAGCTGCTGGGGTACCCGGCGCCGGACGGGGAGCGCGGGGGGTCGCCGCCGCCGCCGCCGGCCGCTGCCGGGCTCCGGGAACCGGAGGAGACGGAGAGCGAGGAGGTGGAGACGCGGGCGGTC